TACAGTATCCTACAACTGGCTACTTTTATCTGCCAAATCAGTCGAACATGTCTTTATTAAATGCTTAAACAATACCTTTAGTTAGTATTGATATCATTAATAGCAGAAGTATAATTACAAGAAAGATGGACATAAAGCATGCACAGTTGAAACCAAAGAAAACGATAATAAGCACGCAAAGGCGCTTGCGATAGCCCTGGATCCTTCTCCGTATTTACTTTTCTATTATTTTGTAAATTACTTAAAGGGAAGACTACTACAGGTTGTCTCCATCCTTTGCAGCTTGGCCTTCCAAAAAATATGAAGTAAGAGATATTATGAAATATTATTTATTATCATCAATTGATTATAATTAAAGTTTATGGTGGCAAGTTTACTCGACCTTTCAACACACACCGGTGTCATTATCAAGAGAGAATATACAATATTGGCAATCAAATATAAATTCTGTACATCAAAAAATTGAATAACAATATAGGATGGTTCCAAGTTAAAACGAAATGTTTAGCTTGCACTATCATCTGGTATGATAAATATTAATATTTTGGTGAAAGAATCTGAAAACTTAAGCATCAACGATCAACTTTAATCGTAGAAAAAAAAAAGAAAATATTCTTTACTCGTTCTTAGGAAGAAATTTTTAAAGGCAAAAATGAAGATTTGGACAGAAAAATCCATTTCAGGTAAATCAAACATTGCAGCCTTTATGGACTCTGCGATGTAGGGGATTGTGGGATTATCTGGGGGCGATGTCAGGAAGCGTCGCGAATTGGTCATTCAGTCCTATAATCCTGTGCAGGAGATCGTTGCCAGTCTTCCCTTAACTTTGGAAATGCGAGTAATTTTAATGGTTCTGAAGCGTTTTAGAAGAAGAGAAAGTACATTTGTCGAGACTTGTACTAATGTGTCACGTGAACATACAGCCTTAAACCAAGGAGTTGAGTCAAAATGAATTCACGGTTCCGACTAGCTACCCTTAGATACCCTTATGTCCCACAAGCTTAACAAATTATCTCATATCTTAGAATTGAAACTCCGATCGAAGAAAATTGATTATAAATTGTTTCCTTATTTTACTGTCCCGCGAAAAGAACAGAAAATTACCTCGTAATCCTGGTAGTACTTTTTTTAAAACAGATGCTGTGTCAGTTGTTAGTAGCTAGGACAATATTTTAATTGCATTGGGAAAAAATGATTGATTAAATATTTTACAATATTATGCTAATATAGAGGTGCTGTTTCCATTTCTGGGGTTTATTTTGACTCAGGATCGCGTGACGTCTTAGTGCCAGTCCGTGGTAATTATTTTTTCTTCATTGTTTATAGCGATAACTATCTTAAAGTCAGCATTTTCTACGAGCAACTGAACTATGAAATTATCGAGGAAACGGTCTCTTATGGGGTAAGTATAGACTTAACAAACCTTGAGATCTCTAGCATGAGAAGAGGCCACGGGATAGGGGAGCACCTGCTTCCCCAAAAAGTTTACTTTTGGCACCAAATTTAAATTAATGCATGCAAAATGCCTCTGGATTTGGCGGATAATAGGCACATTAACCCCATCCACCCCCCTCCCCCTCCTCCTCCCTGTAATTGAGACCTCGCTACGCCTCTGCTTTTCACCACTGCGACTTTGAAACGGCACGGCATGTTACAAAACTTAGAACATCCTTTAAACCAATCACATAGCAAGAAATCACTTGTTATTCAATCAAATTGCCCGGACACGGTCCAGCGTATCACGCCTTGCTCGTCCGTACCGTTAGAATTCGTTCACCGTCGTACGTATATGCAGTAATAGGGCGTGTTCAAGTGACGTCACGGCGGCCGTGTTGTTGTACCAAAACAATACATTTTCTACCCTCGGGGAATTGAACCCTACATTTATGCAAAAACTGTGTGAAGGGGTTCTTTTGTTTGGTACACCAATATGGCTTCCTTCTCACGTGAGTAAAAACGCTCTATACAACATACTTAAGCTAAGGGATTGGACTGGGCGTCGACACACTAGATCTTGGATCAAAACAAAAATTATCAAGCTCTCAGATTTTTTGGTATAGATAAACTCAATGTATAGCAAAACACATGCTCAACCTTTAAAAATTGATTAATGCTCCTAGATTCTGAATTTTGAAAGATTTTTCATTTTGGAAAATACATAACCGTGAATTGATTGTGGACTGGACTTCGATTAACTGGATCTTGGATCGAGACAAATTTCTACGCCCATCAAAGAGCAGCTTTCATTATTGTAGTCTTTAAATTGATATTCATGAGTTGTATTTTACGTGATATTTTGCAAAGATATGCATGTTTTTTTCTTTGATTACTTTAGGTCATTGACTTTGTCTCCGACGTGGGAGGTCAACTGGGCCTGTGGCTTGGTGTCTCTGTTCTCGCTGCTACTGAAGTCATTGAGCTCATGATGCTCATCGTCATTTTCCTTTGCAAAAAGGGAGAGAAGCCAGAGAGAGGGATGATGAATGAAGACAAAACCTTTTACCTGCAAGAAGAACTGAAACTATCAAACATTAGCAGTCGTTTGTAAAAGTATCAAGAAAACCCAGTCGATGGTAGATTATTCAGTTAATGAAGTGATACGTGCAAAACCTCTATTGGTTAGTGGACAAAACTCGTTCGTTACCAAGATATATTAGTTAAGGGACGATAAACACTCGAGCTATCATTTGCGGGAAAGTACTCAAAGCATCCAGTTAAAGCTTGCCCTGACCTTATTTTTTTTCTTTCTTTCTTTACCGGAGAAGAGATATATCAGTATTTATCTGGGCCCGATTGTACGAAGCCTGGATAGCGCTATCCGGCGAAAAATCCTTATCCAGTGGATAGGTCGATGCTGTTATCCAATAAATTTATCACTGGATAAGACTTATCTATCGACTTCGTACAACCGGGCCCAGGGTAATAAACTAAGTTAATTATTATTAATAGCGCAGCGCACTGATTCTAAAAATAGCTTAAAGATTCGGACAAACATTGCATTGTGTTTAACCGCTACGAGGATCATACGAACCGATTTTATTATTTTTACTTAAAGTTACAATAATAACCCATGTAAACTAAGATCATTCGGCTGTAAAAATTATCTGCTGAAAGTAAACTTGTAAGTTTGTTTGTCCGAATTTCGCCTTTGTTTTCGTTTTTATGACGTCACGGTTGCGCTGCGCTATTCGTCATTTATCAGTTGGTTCAACATGAGCCAAAAAGAATCACAAGCAGTTTGAATTAGGTAAACATCGGCCCTGCAGTGAGTATTAAAAAGGCCGTCAACAGTTAATGTGGACCTACACTTTTTTTTCACTAGACAGCTTATATCTTCGTTTGCACGTTACGTCATCACGGCCATGTTGGTACCATTTAACAAAAGATTTCCCATTTTCCATTGTTAATGGTACCACAATGGCCGCCATGTTTTTGTCTTTGATTTGAAATGTACTTGCGGATAACATAACAGACGCTACGAAGTCGATTAAAAAATCACAACTACCTCGGTCTACTGGGAAGAGTAGTATAATATTCTTCTGTAGTTTTCTTGCACTTTTTTTTTTTTTGCTTTTTTTGTTTTGTTTTGTTTTTTTTGTTTTTGTTTTTTGTTTTACTTAGACAATATTATTTCACGGTTCAAGGGTTAAATCCCTCTCTGCATACACCGTTCGCAAGCCCGTTATACAATGTAAGTAATGTTTACAATATGAGCGGCCGTGCTGTATCGGACGGACACGAATGTTGTAAACGGCTTGTGAAACGCCGTGAATAATTCATAACTCCTTTTGACATTTTGAATTCATATGCTAATTAAATACAACCAATAATGCTGAATCAGAACAGTATACATCCACTGTAAATCCACTTTCATTGTAAGGTTTGTATCAGGTTTACATGATAGTCATGTGACCTGATTTTTAGAGCTGTATTGGCTTAGACTCTCAATTATTCATGCCGATTTTACAAAATAAAATAAAATAATTCAAAGGTAGGATTATTTCAAACTAAAAACACCCTCGTTTTTATTTCTTTGCAGGTATGACAGCTTGAGGTCCTGCAGGTGGTCGCAAAGAAGGTTGCAAAATTTTTATGACATTTGTCAATTGAGTCAGAAGTAATATATACAATATGAGCGGGAGATCTGTATGAGGATTTAAATAAGCGAGCTGCGAGAGCTGTTTTAAACCTCATACAAATCTCACGCGAATATTGAATATATTACATATTACTTTTAAAATGTCTAGATTAATGCTTCTTTTTTTTTTTAGAGTAAAATTTTTGATATTAAATGTAATTTGACCGAGATATTTCAAAGTCAACCTTATGCAAATCAGGACGAATTCTGTATCAGGGTTTACAGATGACTTCACGATAGTGATTTTGTATTGTTCTGAGGTCATTAACTATTCATGCTTTTTTAACATATTAATTAAGACACCTCTAGCAAGTGGAACAAAAACCACGACTAAAGTCCTACACAGACAAAATGTGGTTTTTGAAAATGAAATTATCAGTTCTATTTGGCTTTCTTTGGATTCATCTCAGCCTGAAAGCCTCAGGTAAGGGATAAAACATGTTTTGCTGTTAAATGGGACTCTAAAACATGTAAAGTTGTTTTATGTTTAACGATAAATTGTCGAGATTTGTYATGGTTACTGCGCAACACTTCGCAAGTTTGTTAATCTTATTTTCTCTCGTGTGTGGTGAAGTTGATAACTCTAAACTTTCCTGTCCTGTCCTGACCTGTTTTCACTTCAAAAAAACAACAACAAAAAAAAAAAACAACAAAGAATGTTAAAAATAAATGTTCAGCATTATTTCTTTGCTCTTTGTATTTGATAGATAAATTCTTCCTGCTTGTGCATGTAATTAGCAAATTATTTATGGCAGAATTCAGATGATGTTACTCTGAATTATACTTTCTTGCTTGCGTTAAAAATAATTTTAATTAATATTTTTAATTTTCTTATTTTTCTGTGGTCGGTTTTTTGATTTTTTTGTGGATTATTTCCCTCTTTCCTTCTCTTTCTATTTGAAGTAATAGTTCTTAGGTAGATAACGCTTCTTTTATTCCTCTTACAAAGATGAGACAAAGAGATGTAAGGAGAGAGAGGGGTAAAACGGATGGAAGGGAGTGAGAAAGAAAGAAGAGTGGGATGGACAAAACAACAACTTAGACCAACGACGACCAACACAAATTTATGAATTTTCTCTGGCAAATAACCGTGAAAATGATCTGTACCTTTTCCGGCGGTTCTGACAATATCTTTGTATTTTAGTAGACGTTTAATTTTCTAATAATTAAACAGTCATGGTTTTATTAAAAAATCTTTTATAATGAGGCTTGAGCTGGCATTTCAATTGCTTGCCGAGAGACGCTCTCAAATTAATTTGGGATTTTGCCGAAAATAATGCGATTTTTTAACAACTCAGCGATTGATATCGTTGCCATGGTTATGCTAATCAACCATAAATACTAGGTAATTAGTCCTCGAGCCAGAATGGGCTACGAGTCAATAGCCCATGGGGCCACTACTATTAAGATATAACTTTTAGCATAGTAGTAGCTCATCAGTCCAATCAGAACCCAGTACTGATGATAGACCGCTAGTTGGCTTTGACTAATACCTAATAGACCTCTTGCCCTTGGACGTAATCCTTTGTTCATGCCTCCAACATCTCCACCTCTGATTTTGTTCTCTTGACTTTTTTGGGAATGCTTGCTAACCATGAATTGTGTTCACAATCAAGATGCTGTTATGAGACCCGTCAACAATTCAGAAAGCGACCTACTCCAATACATCCTCACCAACTACACCCCAGACACTCGTCCAGTTCAAAATCAAAACGATGCAGTTGTCGTACGTTTTGGAATCATGCTTAAGCAAATCATCGATCTCGTGAGTAGGGGTCTAGTTATGTCTAACATCTAGGGATTGTGAAGGTCTAAATGATCTATTAGTTTTTATTTATTGTATCACAGTGTGGGACAGTCACGACAGAGCCAGGAGTCTAAGTGACAACACAAAAACCCAATTAGTAGATGCTTTGAAGAAAATAGAATAATTGTCACAATTTTTTCACGTTTGAATATATTTTTTAAATATTCTTTTTTCTTTTAGGATGTGATCAACCAAATCATGACGGTTAACCTTTGGTTGAGAATGGTGAGTTTTCATTTGATTATCTGCCTGCCTGCCTGCCTGCCTGCCTGCCTGCCTGCCTGCCTGCCTTATTTGTTGCTCTTGTGTTTTTGGTTATAGCTTGTTAGCTTCTTCCTTGTTCATTTGTCTGTTGGTTTGTTCAACTTTTGCACGGTTTTGCTTGACATTTTCATTATATTATGTATAAACTACAAATATTTTCAGTTCTGGAAAAACGAGCTGATATCGTGGGATCCTGAGAAGTTCAATGGAATTAAAGTCATCAATGTCAAACCTAACAAACTTTGGGTGCCAGATATAACGATTTTTAATAGGTAACGATAACAGATACTAGTACTGGTTTTTGTTGGTATATATAAGAACATAAGCAAGATAGCAACAGCAGCAACAGCAGCAGCGGCATCAACAGCAGCAACAGCAGCAACAAAACAACATCTTCCAGCTCAACTTACAACAAAAGCAACAACAACGATCGTTCTATTAGCAACGACAACAGCAATTACAACAGCAACAGCAGAAGCACCACAAACAGCAAAAACGACAGAAATAACAACAGCAACAGCAACAGCAACAACATCAGTAGCAACAGCAGAAACAACAGCAGCAGTAGAAACAACAGCAGCAACAACAACAACAACATCAGTAGCAGCAGCAGTACAAACAACAGAAGCAGCAGCATAGCAACAATAGCAGCAGCAGCAACTGAACGACAGAAACAGCTTAATTTTGTCTTAATTTGTCATAATTAACTGCTCTGATAAAAGTTCGTGTGATTTTTGTTTTTTTATAGTGCTTCAAAGACTTCATCCATTGGTGATCTATACACGAAGATAACGTCTGAAATAATAGTCAACTACACTGGCGAGGTTCAGTGGAATTCCCCCGCTATAATCAGTACAGAATGCAAAGTAGATGTTCGATACTTTCCCTTTGATACTCAAGTGTGTGAGATTGAGTTTGGTTCGTGGACATACGATGGTCTTCGAGTTGATCTTCAGCTTCTTTTAAGCTATATTGATATTGCTCAGTATTCAGTCAGTACAGAATGGAACTTGCATAAAACTTCAGCCAAAAGAAAGTGTTTGATTTACACCTGCTGCCCAGAGCCTTATCCATCAGCACTTTTCACTTTGGTCCTCAAAAGAAGACCTATGTTTTTCATATTCAACATGATTATCCCTTGTGGGGTCATAACACTGCTGTCTCTCTTTTCTTTCATCTTACCACCGAACTCAGGCGAGCGAGTCTCGTTTGTCATGACTGTACTTCTCTCTCTGAGTGTCTACATGCTTATGGTAACAGAAAAGATGCCTCAGTCAGCGGATACTCCGATAGCATCAAAGTTCTTTATGTCAATGATGGTGCAGATAGCTTTATCACTCGTGGTCACGTGCTTCATAATAAAATTCCACAACAACAATATTCCAATACCTCCACTGTTTGACAAGGTCATAAATCAATGGCTTGCGAGCTTGCTTTTAATGAAAAGAAAACATGGACGTAAAAGAGAGAATGGCACTGAGAATGAAAATGAGCCAGATATGTTCTTCAAGAACGGAGGTTTCTTGCAAGATGACTCTGATCTTGTCATCACCCAAGTGCATGGCCAAAGACAGATAGAAAAGATCAAAAACCCTGAAAACAACGAAAAGAGAGGAACCAGGACTAACAACAACACGAAGCAACAAGATATTTCAGAACTCTTCAAAGAAGTGAAAACCATAGCAGACAAGATAAGACAAAACGACCAGGAAGAGAGTAAAAGAGAAGAATGGATGTTTGCCACCGAAGTACTCGATCGGTTTTTTATATGTACCCTTTTTTGTAGTATTTCCATTGCTTGCATCGTAGTATTTTCTGCCGTACATGATGCTGTGATGGTAGACGGCTCTGTCGATTAAATTCGGACTTAAGAGCGTTCATGGGCATTGCTCATGCGCATCCTTTCTACGCAGGAGTTTAGTGCGAACATGCTCACCGTGGTGACGTCATTCAAATATTACATTTAATTACGATATACAAATACCAAAATAAGGGCATAATCAACAGTACAATATTCCAATGTAAAGACTAGCCTAACAAGCGGAGATGAAAAAAATATCAAGGAAACAGGTTTTTCATTTTTTCAAACTCGGTTCACAGTCGGTCACCCTTTTCTTTATTTTGGTTTTGAAAGCACTTTTATATAATACCTAACTTTCTAATTACCCTTTTTTAAATTTTTGACATAAAGGTGAAATGCTTAGCAATAATTGGGTCATTTTCTAGTGTACTCTGAAAAATGGGGATTGACTAATTAATTTGTGATTTTTTTGGAAATTTTTACCACAAAAAAAGTGAACTCGCATATTTAATTTCATCGAGCATAATTTTAAACAAATTTGACGATGGGATTTTTCCGCCCATGAACGTCCTTGATATAGATTGTTACATTAAATCATGATTATTTGGGATATATCACTCGCAACTCAAAAAAGCTAGAACTTACTGTTGAGTTTAAATTTTTTCAAAAAAAAAGTCTACGTGTAGAGGCTTTGCACCATTTACGTGGTGGCAGCCATGACAGGGTACATAACAATAGAGTGGTTTTCACACTGGGAAACTGAATCATTTCTCAAGTAAATCAGATTAGATCAGAATCAATTGTTCCTACCCCCTGTCATGGCTGCCATCACGTGATGGTGCAAAGCCTCTATATACATTATTATGTTATTAACTATGCCTGGTTTTAAAATGATCAATTTTGAAACTTTATTAGTCATAAAAAAGACAGCAAATGAACCCAGCAAAGGTAAAAAGTTTTAACCAGATAAGAACATCGACGAGAGTCGTCGGTTGACAACTCGTATCTACCCAACGTAACATTCTTAGCAGGTTAGCCTGAAAAACGCCAAGTAAACGATAAAAACATAACAAAGTTGTTTAATATTCCCTAAAAAGCAATTTATTAAGTTAAAGTTAATAACTGTTATAATCTAAATACTGCCGATTTTTTATTTGAAATTTTTACCATTGCTATATATATATATATATATATATTACGAACGGCAGGGAATGTTCCCCGCTGCTGGGTCTCCCTCGTTGGCGATTCTTGGTATTTTCTCTGCCAAGAATTGAGAGAGACTCTGCTAGCAGTGAAGAAGTGATGTCTCAGCGGTTCTGCGGCTGAGATTCTATTGATTTCAACCCCAGATAAAAATGCAATCTACAAAAATTAATAATCGTAATTACGATCTAAAAAATATAATACGCGATTTTACTAGGGTATGTGATTTCGATTTCACACAAAAAATGCACGCAAAATGTCTTAAAATAGACTATTTGATGAATTATAAACTATTTGTCTTTTTGGTGTGGGTTTCAAGCTAAACTCTTTTTGCCATCATATATATGATTAAATATTAATAAACGTAATACTTGTACCAAGCTAAGTTGAAATTGTAAACTGAACTATAAGTTAGAAAAAAATAGGACAAAAATATTATAAATTACTTATTGTGTTTTGGGAAAAGGAGCATACGAATCTCCAAATTGATTAAAGCTTTATTAGTCATACCAGTAATGATATATATCATAACAAAATATTATTGTTTCACCCTGAGTAACAAATTGCTTGCAATAAATAATTAATAAGATAAAATATGCAGAAATAAAATGAAATTTAAATTCTTCACAATCCTCTTCATTTCTCTTCTCTTCTCTTCCCTTCCTTTGCCTTAGAAAACCAATAAACATATCCCCACGCCAGAGGTTAAATGGTAAATTACGAGCTCTCAAAATACAACATCAATCACTCCACAGCCAATGTGAGATTGTAATTCATGACCTTACTTCACCAAAAACTTAAAATCAATTGACTAAAAGTTTTTTATCTGCAAACGATGAGAGTTTTCTTCTTCAAGTCAAGTGTTATATCAGCGGGCAAGACGTCCCATGAGGTACTGTCTCGTTATTAATTGTCATGTGACAAATCCTGGTGTTTTAGAAAGCAATTGAAATAAAATAATTAATCACGTTTGAGTTATTTTTCAGTTTTGAGGAAGCAGGCAACTGTAAACAGAGATTGAATCATGAAGAAAGTCTTGGCGTTTTTCCTTGTATTTCTGCTAACATTGATATCAACAAGTACAGGTACCATATCTCTGTTTAGCTTTAGTTATTCTGCGGTCAATTTAGTGATAAAACTAGCTTATTACTTATAGTTTACGACATTAATCGATTCACCAAGAACCCTGCCAACAAAAAGGGATTAAACAGTCTATGACTGTCGAAAAACTTTTAAGCCTAAAACAACTTTTTTTCAAAAAAACGTTCTTCATTTATAAGATGCCTAAACTGTGATTCTAGCATATTTATCTATGCGCGCTAATCAAACATAACATAGTTCTTTCACTCTTAATAATACTCAATTACAAAAGATATTTCCATTAAATCGTTTCCAGTGATATCAAGATAAACAAAAATATTTTGCTTTGTTTCATCCAGACTTGTTTCTACATCAATAATTCGCGTATTTAGAATTTTTTCGTGTTAAATATAATTTTTATTAGGCGTGATAGAGTTATAGATTTGACGATGAATATTACGGGTAGTATAACATATTGTAATAAGACAACGTTTCGGTGTCATCACGACACCGTCATCAACATAAATATCATTATTATCTGCTAAATATTATGTATTCTATTCTATGTCATGCGGATACCGAAACGTTGTCTTAGGCCCCGTCCACACAATGCCGGATAAATTTGAATCCGAATTTTTATTTATTCGGTTAGGCCTACCGTCCACACTAGTCCGGGCGAATCCGGAACAATTCTTCACCGAAAACGAATTTTCGAAATGGAACCGAATAAATAAAAATTCGGATTCAAATTTATCCGGCATAGTGTGGACGGGGCCTTATTACAATATGTTACTTCCCATAATATTCATCGTTAAAAATAATTACAAATTTTGCTAAAATTGCCTGTAAGATACCAAGTAAAGTTAATGAAAGTGAAAATAAAACAGAAAAAATAAAGATAACATACTAAACAAAAGATATTTCTTGTCTCACATAACAAATTTTACGACCTAAAAATAATTGACTTCTAATTAGTTTTGGTCTAATTTTTGGTTTGTCATGCTCAAGTTTATTACGTTTCTTTGTTTGCTAATTGCGTAGATCTCGATAATGGAAAAAAACGACAACAACAACCTGCAATTGAATTTATATTGGCAAATCATGATTTTCAAGATTTTGGGCCGTAGTAGTCAAAATGTTATGTAACTAAGTTGAAAACTGGTTGAAAACAACTGGTTGTAAAACAAATTGCATAATTTTCTACAAATTCTTACTCTGTGCTTTTGTTTTATTTGAGTTTTATAATAAAATTCATTAATTTTTTTAAAATTATACTGACTTTCCCCAACAGAAGATTTCAATTCAATTCTTACAAACGTACAATTCAGTTACTATTTTTATTTTATCTTAAGTCAACTTTTCATTGCTGGTTTAGTTCTAAATGAATACAATAAAAAATTTTTTTTTTAAATCCAAATTTTGAAGCGTTAAAATCTATAGTCCTTTTTTTCCAAGTTTAATATTTCAATTCTACGCACGACATTTGCGTTACCATGGTGATTTAACTTCCTTGAGTATGTTGCTAGGCGACAGCATAGTATTCACTCCAAAACGTTATCTATTTTATATGATGGAATTGACGGTTTTAGTCTTCTTTAATTTCTTTCTTTGAACATTTTTTTCTCTTGTCTTGTTTTAGCTAATCAAAGCCTTTTCTAGAGTCTAGCTACTTCAAATATCTTCGTAGAAAATTCTCGACACTTCAAAAAGTGATAGATGGTGTTGGCCTTGCTTGACTTTAATGATATTAGCTCGTAGTGTTTCGTGGTTTGATTAAGCCTTATTGTGATTTCTAGACTGAATTTTGCGTCAGACTTTCAAGTGTAAGCTCCAAATTTGACAATAAAGATTGATACATATTACCACAACCGCAAATGATTTTGAGTGGCTTTATTATTATTATTATTATTATTATTATTATTATTATTATTATTATTATTATTTAGATATTTTCTTCTTTAAGCTTTACGATTATTGGTCCTTCACACACTAAATAAATCGAGCAGCATCTTTTTACAACGTCATAGCCGCCATCTTTGCTGAATCATACAAAAGATTGGGTCTTGGTTCTTCTATAATTATATTGACCAACATGGCGGACATATATGTCTTCGTCCGTAAATTCTCACTACACCTATATCAATACAGAAATCTTGTAAAGAATTCTAGTCAACCACAATGCATCAATAAACTGCATGTCTGTATTATTGTTTACGTTGTTCGTGAAGCTCTTCCAACCACTGGTGGAGCAAAATTTCTGTAAATTCGCTATGAGAAAATCTTTAATTTCTCAAAGTTTGCTCCCATTCATTCCTCAGCAAATAGACTGAATTTTTCAGAGAGATTCTCTTCGTGATATCATGAGATTTTGGTCGTCCATGACAACGAAACCTACATTAGAGTCGTTGCCAAAAACATATAGATCTCACGGAAAGCATAAAGGGACTATTTATACTACTTTGGTCGTAAAACATTTAGCAGGAATAACAATACCGATTTTTGACCGCCATTTTGCCTGGCAGAGAAAATAGCGCTTTGCTTAGCATTACATTGTTTCTGGCGCGCAGTGCACTGTGGTTAATGAGGATCATTTTAAATTAATAATTAATAACAATAATTAATAAAATACTTCTTGAAGATTAACATAATGAATGTATATATGTATATGTTTTTTAGATGCTGTTATTGTGTCTCCGAACAATTCTGAGGGTAGACTAATGGAGTATATATTTGCCAACTACAGTTCAGATATCCGTCCAGTAGCTAACAACCATGACCCCGTGGTGGTACGTTTTGGCATTATGCTCAACCAGATCATCGATGTGGTAAGATATGTTTTACCTATTGCAGCCAATACTATTCTTTTTGTAGGTATAGGCTCTTTGCAGCTCAGTAATCACGTGCTGATTAATTCACTGAGAGCAAATGAATGAAAACCTTGATTCCCATGGGTGAAATATACTGATGAGCAAACAAACTTTCTACAACCTGTTTCGAGAGATCGTAATAAAACTGCATTTCGTTTGACACTGGTTACACATCGTTTCATTCAGTTCTTTACAAGTAGCTAAAAAGAATCACCAATCTAAAATAAAAGAAAAACATTTGCTCACCGGTACAGACACGTCACCGTTAACTGCAAAGGGCCTATTGCTGGTTTCCAATCATTCCCAAAATTAAAGAATGAAATAACAAGTTGTTGTTGTTGTTGTTTTCTTTGTTTTTGTTTTTGTTTTGTTTTCTTTGTTTTTTTGTTTGTTTTTTTTTAAGGTATATGTACAATTCAACTTGTAAATTATTCAATTGTTTTTGAAACCGTACTGAAATACATTCTGATTGACTGTTATTGGCCGATGTCTGAATGAGTTTTTTGCTGCGGCGGCGAAATTTTAAAGGACGATTGATGGACATTTGTACGTGTGTGAATCTTAGGGTGAAATGCGAAATGTCGCACGTAAACTATATCATCATTTTCTCTTGGTGTTTACTATTTTTATTTTAGGATGTCGTCAATCAAATTATGATTGTCAATGTATGGATCAGAATGGTAAGAGATCGAATTTGAATTGAGCGTTTTGGTTTTCGAGGAGGGAATAAACTAGTAGGCTCAGATAACAGAGAACCTGGAGAAAAATCCCTCAATAGAGAGATCTGACAAACTCTTCTTAACATACAGCTGGTGGCGAGTCAAGGAATCAAACCCAAGACCTCAGCACTATTGGAGAACTGTTGATTGTTAATTTGTTGCTCATATAATGCCCGGGGGGGGGGGGGTACTCCCCTATATTCGCTATACGGGTACGTGCCGCCAAACAGGGTATGGTCTTCAGCGATTTCATCCGGAACAGGGTATATAAAATCGCGCTTGCTCTGGAACAAGGTATATGAAATCACGCTCTCTACTCTCTGGAACAGGGTATCAATTTTCGCAATACCGGAACAGGGTATGATTTTCAGCGATGTTGCTCTGGAACAGGGTCAGGGTTCAGTGGGCTCAGCGGCACCCTAAACGGGCAAGAGTACCCCCCCCCCCCCCCTCCCCTTTCGCGATATAATGAAACATTTGATATTTTCTTTTCTGCAGTTCTGGAAGAATGAGATGTTCAAATGGAATCCCGAAGAATTCGGAGGATTAAAATCGATAAATGTTGAACCTTCTAAGGTGTGGGTCCCAGACATTACACTGTACAACAGGTACGGTATACCGTTTATCGATGATATACTTTAAAGAAAGACGAATAGAGGTAATGATGAAGAGTAAGAAACGGGTTGCCTTGTCGTATGCATGGCGTGTATGTTAATACTGACTCAAATTCTTCTACGCCAAAGCATAACAATATTCAACTCTATTCAGAGAGGGTGACACGTGACAGTGGCAGAGTTCATAAACTTGTTGCTATCTATTCTGAATGTTCCTGAATCAGAGCGGGCCATGGCCACGGCTTAAACATTTGCATATATAATTTTAGAGCATCGGTAGCACCTTCTACTTTATATTTTAAGACTTTGAGTGTTGGTCCGGCAAAGGCTTGAACCACGACCTCCCGCACAATAGTCCAGTGCCAAGCAACTGATCCAACTAGAGGCGACGGCGGGAAGCGATCTTAAACATGGAAAGAATAATTTCATGTCAAATATATATATGCGAAGGAGCTTTCGTCCTTGCCGCTTCCACTTCTAAGACCAAAGATTGTCAGAAGGGGTAACTCGACTTGAGTGTTGAATGATAACTTCCCAGACACCATATTCAGAGATACTGGGATAAAACTAGAGGACCTAACGAGACATCTCGGTCAAGGCCGCAAGATGATGATGATGATGATGATGATGAATTATGCATTTTTTTATAGTCTTTTTTTTCTGTGTTGTCTTGCAGTGCATCCAAGTCAGGAATGATTGACTCTTTATACAAAAGGATTACCTCCAAGATCATCATCTCATCTACTGGAGACATAACGTGGCTCTCTCCAGCCATCCTCACCACGGCATGTAGCGTTGATATCCTTAACTTCCCGTTCGATTCACAAAAATGCCTTTTGGAGTTTGGATCATGGACGTACAATGGCTTGAAAATCGATATTCAACTTCACCAAGACAAAGTCGATCTCTCAGACTACAAGAGTAACAAAGAATGGCACTTGGAAGACGCCCCTGCAGAGAGAATCGTTATAAAGTATTTATGCTGCCCAGAGCCTTACCCAACTCTGAAGTTTTATCTTCTCATAAAAAGAAGAGCAATGTTTTACATTTTTAACTTGATCATACCATGTGGGATGATCACACTTTTGTCGTTTTTTTCTTTCATCCTACCACCGAATTCCGGTGAGCGAGTGTCTTTCGTGATAACTGTCATGTTGTCTTTAAGCGTGTATATGCTGCTGGTAACAGAGAAGATGCCACAAGCCGCAGAAACACCCTTAGCATCCGAGTTCTTCATGGCCATGTTGGTCCTTGTTGCGGTCTCTTTGGTTGTCACTTGTTTCGTTATCAGATTCCACAGCAAAAAAACGCCATTTCCTCCAATTCTTCGAAAAATCTTCAATGAAAAGCTCGCGAAAATATTATTTATGAGCGCCCCGAAGAAAAACGAGGTTGACTCCCAAATCGCTAAGTCCAAAAAGGATAAGCCTTTCTGTCTTACTAATGGTGGATTTCTAAATGAAGAAGCGGTTCTCAAAATGACGAGACTTGTCCGGCTTCATTCATTACATCATTTGGAAAAACCAGAAAATTACGAAGAAAATAATGGAAGCATAGAACGAAACCGCTCTAATCCAAATGAGCGCGTCAAAACAACAGAAGAGTTCGAGAAACTACTTCACGAAGTGAGGTTTATTTCCAAAAGCTTTCGAGAAATCGAAACTGAAGAAGAAAAAAGAAGTGAATGGGCCTTTTTTGCGGACGTATTGGATCGTATTATTTTTCTAATTTTACTATTCGGCAGCGTAATTGTTTCTGTTGGTATTTTCTCCAAAATTCCGCGCAATTTCGTCATTGAATAGCATCACCTCAGAAAAAGAACTTTTGATTAATAGTACTTGAAAACAAGCTCAAAGCTTCACTATCTCTAAATTCCCTTGTGTTGTCATGCAAGTTAAAACAAGAAAAAGACGTCGAACCAGACAATGTATTGGAACTATTTGGTGCCGGTCGCAACATTTACGACCAGGAGGTCTCGAACTACACAAATTTGAAGTTAAGTTATTTAAAAGTGACATGTCCAAAGTGGTGGTTCAGATGATATGGCAATGACAGCCACTGCTACTTTAAAAAGGTTAATATTCATTGACACTTACTGAAGAGAGGACCGTTAATGCAAACACCAGGCTTTTTTGATTTTTTGATTTTTTTCAGGTTATCATTTCCTGAACTTTCTACTGTTTTAAATCCTATAAAATGAAGCATTGAATTCAAATACTACACTGAGTGATTAAACTAAAACCTCATGATAGTTTTGATTCATCAGCTCAGCTTTTTAATTATAAATTAACTAGCCAAGCTTTCGAGCATCTTGCTCTTCATCAGGGTAAACGGTTGTGACTTAACTTGGCTTAACTTAGCTTGATTTATAATTAAGAAGCTGATGAATCAAAACTACCATGAATCTCCACTCGTCTTACAAACACTTATTGAAAATAAACGTATTTCCAAAATCACAGTATTCGCGGTTTGAGTGTTTGAGTGTCTTCACTGTAAACTACAGCAACAGGCAGTCACAAATATGAGGAAAAGTCTCCATAGTCTGAACAAATTGGACTTCCTTTACGCACCAATACAGGAAGCACTAAGAAGGCAATATAGATATAGGCGTCTACTGTTAAGCAACGTACGACAAACGTTATTTAGAATTCATTTCACATCACCATGTTGCAACCAGCACTCTTCCATAGTGCAAATTGATGGTTTTCACGGCGGCCATGTTGGAGAAACTTAGCAAAAGAATCGTAGTTTGTTATATCCTCCAACATGACCGCCGTGCCTTTTGTTAGTTAATTCTCTTGTGAATGGTTAAAAACCATCAATAATGTACCCTCGAACAACCAAGAAAAGTCGACAAATTTGAACCACGTCAGAAGTCTGCTACAAGACAACAAAAGGTTTTACAGAGGGTCCCCTTCATAAAATGAAAGGATAATCAAAACAAGTGATCAAGAGAACCATGCAATACTAAACAACAGTATGAACATGATGATGATGATGATGATGATGGTGATGATGGTGATGATGATGATGGTGATGGTGATGATGGTGATGATGATGATGATGATGATGATGATGATGATGATTA